TTTACACTACATTACACTAGACTACACTACACTACCCTAATTGCACTACACTACAACTACAACTACATTGCTTTACGCTACACTACACTAGACTACACTACACTATACCACACTACAGTTTATACATCACTACGGTACACTACACTAGACTACACAATTTACACCACACCACAACTACAGCTATAACTGCAACTGCAACTACACCTACACCACACTAATTACACTACACTACAACTACAACTCCATTACACTACAACTACAACTGCACTACACCACACTACATCCAGCAGTTGTGCTGAGGCGACCACTGCAACCACTGCAACCACTCCAAAAAACACCACTCCAACCACCTTTCGGTCCATCAGTGGATTCGCTCTGCCATCCGTGATTCACAACAACCAACCTCTCCTATAGGTTTCCTATTTTTTAAACTTCCGCCACCGCCTTGTGCGGTACTGCTGGTATTGCACATATAAGTTACATAAAGGATTCCCAAGGTCTCTCTGAGCTGCTGCGAAGTCTTCTGCCTTTAGCTCCGTGTATGTTTTGACGGACGCTTCACTCCCTTGCACGCGTGTTGCCATGGCCCTGACAGCTGCCTGTCCAGGCGGATGAAATATCAGGTCTATCAGGTGCGATTCAAAGCAACGAGTTGTCACAATAATTTTTCATTCTGCGAATGCCATTTCAGTCCTTTTCTCCTCTGGTGCCTCAATGGCATTTCGCACGGCGCGACCATTCCCTTTTGCTCGGTCTGGGGTGCATTCTTCTAGACGCTCACAGCCTGAACAGAGAAAAAAGTTGCTGAGAAGAGAAACAAGGAAAAATTGGTGTTAAAAAAAGAAACGGGGTTGGTGGGCGCAGAATTATGAACAATTCAAAACAAGCAGCAGCCGGTTGAGAAGCTCAGTGCATCTTGATATGTGGACAAATCACTGGGTAGCGTCAGCTCCTACATAACCATAGAAGGCTTGGATTTGTGGAGAGACAGTAAGTCAAAGCAGAGTCACGTGTTTGCTTGCGAAATGAGCAGATTTCTACCTCCACACCACTTCTTCTACAGTCTCTACAGTTTTCTTCTTAGTCTTCTTCAGCAGGTCACTTGGTCAAAGGGTAGCAGCGTCCTTCTTGTTCAAGCCAAGTTTTCCAATGTCATACAGCTCCGGGCAGGTGTAGTCCTGGAGTAAAATTCGAGCACCACATGAATCCGATTGTGAACCCGCAACAATCCACACGACACCGGCTACATCAGGTCCTCAAAGTGAAAAGTGAAAGGAACACGCGACCTTTGGGAAGCGGTTTGGGTTTGGGAAGCGGTTTGAGAAGGCAGTTTGGGAAGCGGCGGAGTTGGTTGGCTTTTGAATTGAGTATACCGATATACGGTTATATCAACATATATCATACAAATGCTCACGTGTCGTGTATTTCTACAGAGAAGACATCCAACACTCCTTGAAAGACAACTATTTCTTACTTTGCTCATCTTTGCTGTCAAAACCATCCGAAAGCAGCCAAGCAGCTTGAAACCTGGATTGCTTTGAAAAAAATCGTCCATCTCCTTCTCGTATCCTGCACAGATCACCTTGCTCCGGCGGCAAAAGACTAAATAGCCAAAAGAGATTTTACAGTTTGGAATCTAAGGCACGGACAATGAAATGTGCCCTTTTATCTTCCATTTCTTTGATCAAGGTGTCCACAGCCTCTTGCCCAAAGGTATCACGGCTGCCTTGGATTAGAGCATAGGCCTCGGTGAGTTGTGACAATTCGAAACAGAAAAGGTGGTGCAAAGATTCGCAAAGCTGACTAGGTCAAGCCGGTCAAGCAATATGTTTTGCAAACTGAAAAGCTGTCAATGTTTCTAACATGAAGCCGAGCAGCTTCATCCAAGAACAGCACACCACCTGAGTCATTTGCTGTTGGCTATTGACAGTTACTTGGTGTTTGTACCACCTCGTGTACTATTTCAGCATAAACAATCAGAAGTAATACGGAAATGTTGCTGAATGCTTCTGAGCAGCCCAAACTCTTCTTCACCGCGTCAAGGACCTTCGTAGCAGTTTGTCCAACGTATTGTGCAACCAAATCGGAGCGGCTTACTTCGTGAAAGACCTAAGCGTACAGCTGAGCGTAGCTGAACAGCCGGAAAAGGCTGAAGGTTAAGGGCAGGCTGTGGCCAAGATCTGAGTTTCCTGCTGTGGCGTTGGTGTCGGCTGTGTCGGCTGGTTTCTCAATGGCGCCCAGGGCAACCAACAGTTTTCCTCAGGCTGAGAAGCATCTTCCAGCATCTTTCAGTTTTGTCAATGCTTTGTCAATGCTTTATCAATTCACAATGACTTGCATCTTGGACCTTAGCAGCTTTAGCATCTGCGGAATCTGCCAGGTTTCCAACAATCCTGGCTACCACGGTCTTTCCAGTCCCTGGATTCCCCAGGAAACGCATGTGAAAGCTTTGGCTCTTGAGTGGCTGCAGCCCAGCTTTCTTCCCTTAGTTTAGCACTCGAAAAACAAAACTGGACGTTGCAGTATGATCGCTCCATTGCCAGTATGCCGCAAATGCCACATGCACCATCTACTTCACCCAAAACGCTCAATACCCTGCTCAAGGGCAAGTGTCTGAGACAAAACCAAGACTGCACAAACCCTACTGCCGAGTCTCTCAAATTTGCAAATTCCTTGGCAGCGGTAGAGGGGGAAAAATAACAAACGAAGTTACACACAAAAAAGGCGTGCAAAAGTGCCCAGGCTCCATGAACACAAAATTAACCGAGAGTCCACAGTTGCATAGAACTCCCGCATGGCACGTTTCACAGACGCGAGTCCGATCAGCTCGTCTAGTTCTGCAAAGACTTTCTTCAGCTCCTTGTCTTTGATCTCCTTGGATTCCGAAAAGTCAAGCAGAGCCAAGGTGGGCCAAGGTGGAGAAAGGTAGGAAGGAAATGGAATTCAGGGAAAGGAAGGACTCTGACACAGAAAGGCTCCCCAGATCAGATGTTGCGTCTATAACTATACGAGAGTGGGTACAGGATCCATCAGATTCCGTGACCTCGTTGCTTCTTGATGTACCTGAAATGGAGATGTAAGTCCGCAAGGTTGATGCCCTTACTGCGCAGCAGCTGCTTTTTTCCTTTGCTCGGAGTCACGCGGTGCTTGAGCCAACAGCGGGAGTTGGCAAGAATGTCTACCCCGGCTGGCAAACATGCATGACTGTACTTGGGGTTTAACCTGGCCTGCATTGTATCCACGCCCCCCACGCCCATCGGAAAGTTCGAGGCTTGGGCGCAGGAGGGTAAATGCTAGGGCCTAAATTTCCCCGTTTAAATAAAAAGAAGGTAGAATTTGCCTTCTTCAAAAACATCTCTCCTACACTGGTGCTATCCGGTTCCCCATGCTCGTCGATAGACTTGCGTGGTTCCCCGAATTATATATATATATCAATCTGCTGGCTCGTCGAAGGACGTGCCCGCATCACGAATATATCATGCACGAAGTAGCATTTACGATTCGAAGAGATCAAGTCGTGACCACTACCTGAGTCCACGATGAATCTTCGGTCCCGAAGTTCAATTGGCATAGTGATGCACATAACATTGCCCTTCTTCCCAAACTTCCCAGGCACATGAGGTTTGATGTCGCCCTCAAATAGTTCTGCCCTGGGATCATCTTCAAGATCCTCGTCGCTTTTCATCCTGACCTTGAGATCACTCTTGGGACCAAGAACGATGTGCACCTCATCGACATCACGGCATTCATACTGTGAATCCATGAGCATTGCCATAGCACGACCACGAGTTGCACCAAGTTTGCAATGGAGAATCCAGTGCATGTCAACACGAAGTTGTTGAAGAGTTCGTGTTTCCTTGTCAGCGTTGCTGGACTTTTTCCTCTGCCTCGAACATGGTACGTAGTCGTACTTGACATACTCAGTGATCTCGATGTTGTCATTGAACTTCACCTTCTTCGGTTCCTTGAGCGTATCGGGGACCGTCTTGAAGAACACATCGCAATCGTCGTCCAAGTTGCCTTATCCCTTGGCGATGATCTTGATCTCGGTTTCCCACCCTTGCCGTTGTGGCTCTTCGGGTTGGAGGATGGTAGCACCGGAGTCGCCGTAGCCTTCGCCTTGGGATTAGGCACGGCAGGCTTGTTTGCCCTGCCACCAAAGTTCTTGTCATCACCCTTGTCAGGTGCTGGAGCAGCAGGCTTCGGGGCTGGAGTGCTCGGTTGTCCAAGGGTCGTGTAGTCGGTGGCAAACTTGTCACGGGCTGCAATGTTCTTGTCTTCTCGAACCCTTGCAATGTGCCGTTTCAAAAGCTCAACAACTCCTTGTAGGTCTTCTGATCATCATCCTTCTCTCGAACTTTGAAGATGGCGAGGTCCACATTCAGCGCTGCGGATCCTTCAATCTTCCTCAGGAGATGATCACGTAGGGTAACATCAGAGGGAATGTCCTGAGGCTTCATGTTGACGATGATCTCCAACCAGGCGTTGAGGAAATTATGCAACTCCTTGTCCCCACGGTATTGTAGCTTGTAGAGATGACTGGCATTGAACAATGTTTCATCCTGCGATGTAGTCTGGAAGTGATCCAGCATCATTGCAACAAGTTGCCCTTCTTTCCGAGTTCCGGACTCCTCTGCCTGATTCGTATTTTGACTTCCGAGGCCACCTCACCAGCGTTCTCGACCATGTTCTGAAGTGCAATCGATAGCTTGGAGTCAATGGAAATCTCCCGAATCTGCAAGTAATTCATAATCAGGGCGAGACCTCTGAGCAGGATCCAACGAATTTTGCCAAGCTCGTTTGTCAGGATCACCAGATGCGACACAAACTGCATGGACCGTTCCCGAACGCCAGACATCCAAGTCTTGACATCTTGGCCATGGTTTCACGACTGCCTTTTCGTGCTCTCGTCGGGAAGTCCTCGTGATCCGTTCATTCTGTCCGTCACCTGCTCCTTGCCCACAACTGATCCATCATGTTGGTCCCAAATCCCAGGAAGGTTGTCCGGGACAGGCTCGAACTTACCCTTCCGTGTTCTCATCAGTGCCAGTGCCTTTGATGGACTCTTGACCTTCCTCAATCTGCCGTAGCCACGACTTGTATTCCCTCATCTCTTCGTAGTTCCTCTCAGCTTGGGCTTCTTGTTCGACAAGTTCGTCCCTGAGCGTCTTGTTAATCTCCTCTTCAGGGTTAGTAGCTTGGGTTGACGAAGAAGCGCCCATCTGGTTCATGTTCATCAATGCAGGAGCCTTCGGCAATCCGTAGATTGCTTTCATGCCGCAGGGTTGAAAAATGACATGAGGTGGAGGGGGCGCAGATTGCACTACCATCGCTCCACCACGCTGCATATCGAGTTCACCAAGCTTCTTGTTCGCCTCCTGCAACTCGACGTAAAGTCTGCCGTTCTTCAAGATCGCATCATCTCTCTGAACCATGATCTCCGTTGTCTCTTCAGTCGTCCTTTTGTCCATTGTTGCGCTCTGTTTGAAGATGATCCGGCCATCCTTCACGGGAAGTTCCTGTTGTAGTCGGCCGAGTTCTTTTCGAAGTTCTTCGACAACCTGTGACTTGGGCGAATTGGCGACGTCATCCCACTTGCCCTGCAAGATCTCAGTGACACGTAGGCGAAGTTGACAGTTGATTTCAGAAAGTTCAGTGTACTCTTCCTGAAGTTCTCCATCACTGCCTTGATACTGGCCTCGTTGTCCAAATGTCCAAGATCATGTTCTTGCCACGTCGAAGTTGATCAGCAACCATTCTTTCGTTGATGCATTCATGTTCGTAGTTGCTCATCTTCCTTCTCTGCTCGATGACCTCATTCTTCAACGTCATCTCGGAGTCCCTCGAGCTCATCCTTGCATTGTCGAGATCCATGTTTGACAAGGTCTTCAGTTTTCCTGCATAGGCAATCTGATCACGTAGTTTCTGCTTCAGGTCCTCGATCATGAGATCCTTCTGTCTCATGTTCTCCGCAAACTCTGTGACTTGACCCTGCATGTGGACTAGTTCTTGATCCTTGATCATCACGGCGTTCTGGGCGTTCGCCTGGAGGTTCTCATTGTTCACCATCACCATCTCCGCATTGGCAGCTAACCTCGAAGTGATAGATGCCATCTACTGACGTTTCATCTCCTCCTTTTCGGCAACGTAATCGTGGCATTCTTGTTGAAGTCTTTCTCGTTGTTGCCGAAATTGTTCTGCCGTCTCTTCTGCATCATGATGTTGTTCTTGTATGTGACGAACTGCATTCTCGAGTTCGGAGTGGCATCGTTGCCGTGCAATTTCGCTTTCTTGAATGATATGTTGTGCTCCATCCTCAGCAAGCTCATTGCGACGACCAAGTTCCATGATCCTCATAGTAGAGCCTGCATCCATGAGATGTGCCTCAGCAAGAGCCTTAGATTGTTCACTCATGATACGTGCTGCACTGGCTAGTGATTCCCTCATGTACTCAACCTCGGTGGAGACATATTGCTGATACATGTCGAGCTTGTAGTTGGAATAGATTTCCATTTCACACATTGCTTCATTGCGATGAAGTAATGCGTCTTCAAACAAGTTGACTCTTTCTTCAAGTGCAAACCTAGCTTTCTCACTCTTGTCCATCTCATTGCTGACATGCAGAAGTTGCTTGCGAAGTTCACTTTCGCCCCGAGTCAAGCTGTTGGAGGATTTATGTTTCGCAGTGCCAGCCGAAGGGCTTGCACCGTTACTAATTGTAATGTTGGTCGAAGGACCTACATTACTTCTGTCCTTTATAGCAAGTCTCGAAGGGCGCCTCGCCGATCTTGCCGCAGACAATCTCTGTGGTCTTCCCCTTGGAGTAGTTTGGCCGTGGCCCGCAGAAGTTCCGCTATGCGCACTGCTGCTGAAAGGCGTCCATGAGGTAGTACCTCCACCACCGCTGTCTCCTGATCCCGGTGTGTCCGATGGACGCGCCGGGGCCGCAAAGGAACAATGGGTTTCGTTGCTGCTAGTGTTGTTCTGCGACATTGCTTCGGCTGCTGTTCTTCACACCACTTCCGTTTACACCAGTCCAATCGACGGGTAGTAGGGCAAGGGGTGCGGTTCGCCGAAGTCAATGAAGATGAACCACGTTCAATCAGCCACCAGTCAAGCTTTGCAATACCAAGTTTGGCTGAAGGTTGTATAGAAGTAGCTCTTGAGCAGTGGCTGCAGGACCACCTTATGCCCTAGGGAGGAGCATACGGCTGATAACCTGAGTGTGGGTATAGGATCAATCAGATTCCTTGACCTCGTGCTTCTTGATGTACTTGAAATGGAGATGTAAGTCATGCCCTCACTGCGCAGCAGCTGCTTGTTCCCTTTGCTCGGAGTCACGCGGTGCTTGAGCCAACAGCGGGATTGGCAAGAATGTCTACCCCTGCTGGCAAACATGCATGACTGTACTCGGGGTTTAACCTGGCCTGCATTGTATTCACACTATATAATGCATTGTATATTATACAGGTAATTTATTATGTATGGCATTAGTATTGTTTTTATGATTATTCGTTAGTATATATATATCTATGTATAATTATATCTGTATATATATATACATATAATTATATATATATATATATGTTTTTTACTTGTGAAACTATAAGTCTGCAGACATCTTTTTCAATCAGTCACAGGCCACAGGCGGAAACATCGCATTTTCACGAAATGCGTTGTTACTGTAGCCTGCGAACGCATCTGGTCTTCGTCTAGTCTTCTTCCAGTCTTCGTTCTTCTCACCCAAAGGATGCGGAAGCATGGCACAAGCACAGCAGTCATGGAAAAGACCTTGCGGCTTGTGTCACCCTCTACTCTATCTGCGAATCAGACATCACATCGTTGAGATCTGCCTAGATGTTTCTAAGTTTCTAAATGTTACTAAATGTTCCCGGAACTCTACAGAGCTCTATGCAAAGATAGCTTTGCAGCTGTACCTTGGAAAGGAATGGAGGCTGAGTCAGCTAAGGGCCAACTCGCCAAGAATCGCGAAGTCATGGCCAAGTCCAAGCGGCAAAGAAAAGAACGCCAAAAAAAGTGAGAAGAGCTAGAAGAGCCAAGAGAGCCAAGAGAGCCGAGTCTCAATGTCCGCGGCACTTCCCAGAGAGGAGGTCGGCTTGGCTTCCAGTATCATTCTGGTGGTCTTAGAGCAAGATCTCTTTGCTCGACTCATAGCTTTGTCAAAGTCTAGAGCCAAAACGCGAGGTCCAGTGAGAAGCTCCAAATTGGGGACTGCTTGACCTGCTAATTTGCAAGTGCTTCGCACTGTCTCTCCAAGTAGTTCGCCACCGACGAAGGCCACGTCCGAGTCCACCAATTCTGTCACCATTTTCTTGCTTACGGGGCTAGATTGTGAACTGAACACAGCACGAACTGACATTGCCCGCAGGGCAGATTCCAAAATGTTTCGAACAGCCTTGGCCCAAAATCAGCGAAGCGAAATTCAAGTGAAGTTTCTTAGACTTACCATGACTTATCTCTGGAAACATATGGAAAGTCTTGAGATCTGTTAAGTTTCAGTGAAAAAAGTCTAGTCTAAGCATATCCAAGCCGCCCGGCCATTTCCATTATCGCGTGTGGCCCCACTGCATGTTCCACCCTCCAACTGTGCCTCAGAGCAGCAACCTGTCTTCTCTCCAACCATTTTTGAAATCCAGCTCTTGGCCTCAACGGTTGGAGTAATGTTTTGTTTCTTCAAAGACATTCCACTCATTTCAGACAACTCTTCACAGCTGTAGTCCGCAAAGTCAAAGCGAAAGGGAACTCGAGATTGAAATCCTGGATTCGACTTGAAAAACGTGTCCATCTCTTTGTGATAGCCTGCCAGAATGACAATGACCTTGTCACGATGGTCCTCAATCTCCTTGATCAAAGTGTCAACTGCTTCTTGGCCAAAGGAGTCTCTTTCACCTTGAATCAATGAATAGGCTTCGTCAATGAAAAGGACACCGCCAAAGGCACTCTTCACAGCCTTCTGGACTTTGGGAGCTGTGTGTCCAACATAGCTCCCAACCAGATCTGCTCTGCTGACTTCACGGAACACGAAGCCGTCCTCGAGATCGGGGTTCTCGGGCTTCTTCACCACTCCAAGTTCCACCAAGATCTTCCCAACAATTCGAGCAACAACTGTCTTTCCTGTACCTGGGTTTCCTAAGAACCGCATGTGAAAGTTTTGCCCCAGGAGAGACCAATGCTCACCCAGAAATCGCCGTCGCCACATGTCAAATTCCACGGTGTCGCGCAAAGCGCTTATCCCGGCCTTGACACTGTCAAGACCAACAAGATCTTGGAGCTCCTCACATGCAACGACATCGGCGATGACATTCACTGACAAAACATTGATTTCTAAAGAAATTCAGGAATTGCAAGGGTTCTCCAAGGGGTGCACTGCAATGCGGATATTCTCAAATTGATTGCAACGCGTGCTATACAATCTGTTATCTGCGCATGGCACATCCTGGCAAATGTTTACTGCAATTCTCCTGTTTGGTGCATAGACTGTGCAGCCTGCGTGCGTGGTTGTGTGTGTGTGTGTCCTGCCCTGTTCCGAGGAGCTTAAACATTGCTGAGTTGCGCAGTTTCAGAACGGGTGGCACACTCATGAGTCCACTGCCAACAAAGCTACTCATGAAATGGGAGGATGTTGGGACTGATCCCGATCTATCTGCAGCATCCTGCAGCCGGTTTTTAAACCCTTTCCGCCTTTGCCATTTTTCCAATCCAATGGCATCTCCTAGCCCGTGCTTTCAGGGGATAGCTCCGTTTATAGCCTGGTTCCTATTCAGATTGCTACGGCGCGGTGATTGTTCCGACTAAGTACATGCAGGAATCAAGTCCTGAAGGACCAGGCAAATAGAGACACGACCATCATGTCGACTCAAGCGTGTTTGTTTGTTGTGTTTCTTTTTGAGTTGTGTTTCTTTTTGACATTGGACTCAGCACTGTTAGCACCTTTGTGATTGGTGTCACTCAACGGTGAGAGGGGCTTGAAAGCAATGCAGTGCAGTGAACGCCGCAGACACCGATCCATCACCAGTGAAACCAGGGAAGGTTGAAAAGCAGAGCCTTACGGAGACACATTCTCCACACAAACACAGAAACCCTCAAAAGAAGCACAGACAAACATCATAAAGAAAATATAAAGAAGCACAGCGTGACAGAAATCACACTTGGCATATTGCTGCAATGTGGCAGTGGTGATGCTTCCAGTCCCATGTCGGGGCCATCGGATTTTCGCAAAGAATGCTGCTTAACTAGTCTGAAAGCCCAGAAACAAATTCTCAAACTGAGGAATCCTCTCAAATCTCTCAAAACATGTAAAAGTACTAATGCCAAACTAACTGATCTGCATTGATTCCAGCATGCGCAACCAAACATGCAGCTCTATTCCTGGTCCGACACCAAGATTCTTGGAAGTTTTCAAGAGTCTCATCTTTTCATGACTGCAGTGCACCCTGACCACCAGGCTAGGCGGCTAATCAGAGGAAACTTTCATTCATGATCCTTCATGATCTTTCATGAATGTTGCCTCCCCGTACTGTCGGACTCCATATCCATTTTTGCTCCGTCCTTCATGAGATTGTCAACTTTGCTGCCAGGCCGAAGCATCGCAAGTCCCATTCCACTCTCAACCTGCAAAGCGTTGGGATTTTCAATCGCCGCCTTAGCAACAAGTTTCAACATGTTTCAGCCACAGGGAATGACATGCGACATAGGTAGCATGAGTGACAGTGAAGAGAATATCTCCAGAGGTGGGAATACTATTCGTTTGTTGGGTTTTGCTCAGAAAGGACCTGACTTTCGTTTCAAATTCAGGAAATCAAACCATGGCAAATTAGGTCAAATCAGAGTTTTGTCCGAATGGAAACTTCGAAATACTTCCCAAAGCACTGCAAACCAAGGACCGATTCAAAATGCAACCTGTCGTCACTGTCGTCACTGTCGTCCCTCTACCAGTCGTCACTCTGTGGTCACTCTATCGGTCTAGGCGGTCTAGGCCGCCTGACTGGGCAGTTTAGCTGGAGGACAGCAGCACAATTCCAAGGTTCTTGGGAGCGCAAAGCCCGGAGCGCCTTCCCCACAATGTATTTGCACCACTTCCCACTATCTGTGCAGGATCAGGACTCACAAATTTGTTTTGATTGTCTCAAGAGATGCAAGAGTTTTCCTCCGAAAGACTTTGGAGACTCAAATGTTGCAGAAATCGCACTGAATCTAGCGCCATACAGGGCTGTACAGGGCCATATGTTGCATGAGAGTACAGCGGTTTTCTTGCTGCACCTGGCCTCCAGGATGTCGTTTCTCAAACGCACTACAGACTTCCTTGTCTTCGTACGACATAGGTATTTCGTGTCGAGGTCTGTTTTGATAGCGCTGTTTCACCTGAATTCTGCAGGCAATGCAACATCATGCAAGTCATTGTAAAGCTTTACTCAAGTCAGGGACGATGCCAATAAAGCTTGGAGGCCAAAACGAACTGAGTCTTGAGTCTTGGTACAGCTCAGCTAAGACAGGCGCCCATGCGCAGACTTTGCACTTATTCTCACCTAAGCGGAAAACAGAGAGTTTTTCAAGGAGCAAAGGCGACAGAAAATTATGTTCATCTGGGCAAGCTGCTGTCTTCCTCCCCACTGCCATCTGGTGCCAAGAATTCATTACCTCAACTTGGTCGATATTTGGTTCAAGGCGATGCAAGTCACGTTCTTGCATGATTTCATTGCATTGTCACAATCTGCACTTCCTTGGATAAAAAATACAGCAATGCACAACTACTATACATCCGACGGCAGAGCCATCAAACAACCAATCGTCACTCATCACTCGATCAGTCCACACTTCCCTGCCCTTCTGCGCTCCCTTTTGCCCCAACTAAGTACGGCTAAGACACATTTGGGACAACCGCGACAAATACTTGGGCGCATTTTACATCTTAGCACCAAAAGGAAGCATGATGAGGCATCAAAGCTAATACTGGACATAAAACAGCAACAGGACAGCAACCAGCAATATAACAGCAAGACATCGCAAGACCAATCTGTGCGCCGTTTAGGCCCAGGCATGTAATGACCAGTGCAGGCATCACAGCCAGCGACATCCACAGTATCCTTGGCACATCTATGACACATCTGAAGCAACAGCCGAAGCAACGGCCGAAGAAACCTATCGCAGCTGTCGCATGGCCAAACATGGCAGGCAGACCTGAAGGAAAGAGCTTGAACCTGTCAGCGAAGCCTGTCAGTTCTGATATTTGTGAGTAACTCGTGCGTGACAGCTACAGACAGAAGCATTGGCAGCAGCAACAGAACCGTGAAAATACCAATGAAACCATGCTAAAGCCATCTGGGGAATGACTTTTGAGGCTATACAGCATGTCCTTCACGTCCACTTGCACAGCAGAGCCGAATCTGATCTCAATGTTTTGACAGCTCGGAAGCCTGCACTCCTTTGCAATCCTCCTCATGGTACAGCTTTTGGTGCAAATCATCCCATTTGAAGCGATCCTCATTTCATCACAAATCAGTGTTTGTTGGGACAAACGACGAGGCGACTTCAGCTTTCACAATGCATTCCCAGAACTCTATAACATCAGCTCAGCAAAGCTGCTGCAAATTTAGTTCTGGCAGGAATACAGCTGTGATACACTTGCTGGGGGTGATGCTACCCTGCTGCAGTTCGTTGAAAACAAATTTGGGTATACTCTATTGCTGGCATGTAGATAGGCTCACAAGCATGAGACAATGCTTCAGGACTCTGGCATACTAGATCCATGTTCAATGTTCAATTATATACATTTATATACTGTATATCCTTTGGCAATTTGTTCGAACTGCCTACAGCTGTCTCCTCGCCCTCATCTTTAAGTTTTGCAGCAAATGATGTGTTTATACTCAACAAGCAAATTCATTCAGTTTGTCGAGTGCAAATCAACTTGTAAACCTGCTGTGCCAATATTTCTGAAACAATGCAATTCATTAAGGTTCTGGCTGCGCTGAGCTCATTGACGTTCACCTCACAAACTGTCTTTTGGAAAGTGAACGAAAGTGAAGATGTGTGGGAGAAATATTGCATGAATTCGAATGATATGTACTGACACTGAACTCACACAAAAGTCCAGTGATACCGAGTGGCTGTGACAGGGGTTTTTGTCGCTTGGCACACGGATCGCAACTTCTCATCGAGGGCAGCTGTAGTGGAGAGCTGAACATCGCCTCAGAAAATCGTGCAACGTCATTTGTAACTAGAGATGTTCAAATGTCCAAGCGATTCCAAGCGTATCACTCGTATCACTAAGCTTATCCAAACTTCAGTTTTCCTCATTCCTTGGAGACAAAACTCTGAGGAAATGACTTGATTCCAGCAAATAAAAAGCGCAGCGCACATCTGCTTTTGTGGTTTCCTGCAGCTCAAATGATAAGCACAACATGTATTTGCTTGTGTGGTGCATTGTGAGGTGTGTTGGTTGAGGATCATTGCCAACAAAGTGTTTGAGTTTCGAACTATGCAGCAACTATACCCCCTGCTTTCTGTCAGAACCCGTGGCACATCTACCGTTGCAGATCTGACCTTGATTGATGTGAATGGGCCTTCAGGGCAGAAAACAAAGGCAAACGCGAAGGACGCTCTCCAATACATTCCAATACACAGTCCGCACATGTCTGCACACCAATCACAAGGAGAAAAGTTTAGCAGTTCAGGCTGTGCAAAATGAAAGTAGTAGTGACTGTGTGAAAGTAGAACTATAACTATGTACTTTGAAAAAGAAAACTCCAAAATGCACCACAAAAGGAAAATGTCGGCTTTCTCGCTCTCTCCTTTAATGTTGTTCCCTATTCTTCCCTGTTTTTCTGCCTTGGTCTCGCAGTGGATCGAAGCCCGTGCAAGAGAGTGGTGGACTGGGTTCCTCCTTGTCTCCCTCTCCAATCACCTTGGGCTTGAATCTCGAGTCCTGAGGCATTCATTGCACAAGTTGTACAGGTTGGGAACTGGAGAGGTCAAGAACTCTTGCTCTGTGATATTCTGTGATTTGCTTCGCATAGTTCCATCATGTTCCACCAATATCAGAAGAAAAAACTCCGGATATGCCTCAAGAACCTGGGATTGAGAGCCACATCATGTCAATAAGAAAGGGCAGGAACATTAGCATTGCAGCGTGTGAGAACTTGAAAGCAGCAAAACCACTAATTAAACGAAAGTATTCTGTAGTTTTTCTTTACTCATGGAGGAATTTTTGAGCATGGTGCGTAGGATTCAGCTCATCTTTGCGCCGGAGGTCATGTACTTGCATATGCGCTCTGCGTTTTGGAATCAGGCATTTTCGTTGCAACACATTGCACAAGCAGCCTCCACACACTAAAGATGGAAAATGTATGGACATCAAATTATATACATATACATATATACATATATACATATATACATATATACATATATACATATATACATATATACATATACACATATACACATATACACATATACATATACATATACATACATATACATACATATACATACATATACATACATATACATACATATACATACATATACATACATACATATACATACATATACATACATATACATACATATACATACATATACATACATATACATACATATACAGACATATACATACATATACATACATATACATACATATACATACATATACATACATATACATACATATACATACATATACATACATATACATACATATACATACATATACGTACATATACATACATATACATACATATACATACATATACATACATATACATACATATACATACATATACACACATATACACACATACATACATACATACATACATACATACATACATACATACATACATACATACATACATACATACATACATACATACATACATACAACATACATACAACATACATACATACATACATACATACATACATACATACATACATACATACATACATACATACATACATACATACATACATACATACATACATACATACATACATACATACATACATACATACATACATACATACATACATACATTACAAACATTACAAACATTACAAACATTACATACATGACATGCATTACATGCATTTCATACATTACATACATTACATACCTTACATACCTTACATACCTTACATGCATTACATGCATTACATGCATTACATATCATTACATACATTACATACATTACATACCTTACATACCTTACATACCTTACATACATTACATACATTAGATACATTAGATACATTAGATACATTAGATACATTAGATACACTAGATACACTAGATACACTAGATACATTAGATACACTAGATACATTACATACATTACATACATTACATACATTACATACATTACATACATTACATACATTACATACATTACATACAGTACATACAGTACATACAGTACATACAGTACATACAGTACATACAGTACATACAGTACATACAGTACATACAGTACATACATTACATACATTACATACATTACATACATTACATACATTACATACATTACCTACATTACCTACATTACCTACATTACCTACATTACATACATTACCTACATTACATACATTACATTACCTACATTACATACATTACATACATTACATACATTACATACATTACATACATTACATACATTACATACATTACATACATTACATACATTACATACATTACATACATTTACATACATTACATACATTACATACATTACATACATTACATACATTACATACATTACATACCATTACATACATTACATCCATACATTACATCCATTACATCCATTACATCCATTACATACATTACATACATTACATACATTACATACATTACATACATTACATACATTACATACATTACATACATAACATACATACATACATACATACCGTTACATTACATTACATTACATTACATTAATACATACATACATACATACATTACATTACATTACATTACATTACATTACATTACATTACATTACATACATACATACATACATTACACATATAACTACATACCTGTACACATATATGTTGTCTGAACTTTAGATCACATGATTGCATTTCCTGTTGCTGTGTCCGACAGCGACCATTGTATGGGCCCCCCCTCCAACCCCACCAACAATTCAAACACTACACACCCACCAACCATCACTGCTAGCCTCCAATAATGTGTCAATGTGAACTTGCAGTTCGTGTTGCCAATCGCAGCGCGCTCCCACTGCTCTGCTTCCCTTTGTGCGCGTGCACCGCACCACAACACACTACGTCCAGAAGGGGAGATACCAACGGATAGCACTGGGTAGTACGGGGAGGGTTAGAACGTGGTATCATATGTATGAACACCCTTACTATTGTTGGATCTGAGGCTTTGCAAATTGAAAACAACCTGGTTGCTGACAGAGCTGGTTCTCGTCTTCACTAATTTGTCAACGTTGCTCTCAAGTCCCTTGTGATATGTCTTTGGTCTATATAGGTTGGTCTATATAGCATGGTCTTGCAGTCTAGCATCGCATCGTCTAGCAGCCTCTAGCAGCCTCTAGCAGCATCTAGCATCTTCTAGCAGCGTCTAGCATCTTCTAGCATCGTCTAGCATCGTCCAGCAGGAGTTTCAATTATTGTAGCCCGGTTCTTTCACACAAAAAACTAAGTGGAAGCCAGTCTTTCACCTCGTTCAGATTGAAGTCTGCTTCCATCTAAATTTATGGGCTGGTTGGATTTGTATAAAATCTAAACGGGATATCAATAAAATCTTTGACCCTACGAGTATCATTTAATTGCATTCTGAATCAAGCCCCTGTTTGGAGTGTGTTCGTCACCTGCATCATCAGGTCATCAGGTCCTGTCATTTCAATGGCAAAATGGCACAGTGGAACAATTAAGTGTCAGTCATATTCTTGAAGCAGCTGTGGTGTGAATGAGGTCAATACGCGACTCGACATCTTGCGATAGGAAGCCTCCAAAATGTTTCTAACTGTTCGACCATTTCCGTTGGCTCGATTCTCCTGCTTGCCACAGCGCGTCGTTTCACAGCAACCTGTCTGCAATCTGATGGCATTCTTCAGCCAGGGACAAGAGTCAGGTGGGTTTTTCGATTCACAAGTGGACCCATCAGAAGTCAGTGCCACATTCTTCTTCTTCATCAAGCGGTCTGCAATCTTGACCAGCTCAGGGCATGTGTAGTCTGGGAAGTTGAAACTGAAGGCAATGCGAGATTTGAAGCCGGGATTTGCAGCTACAAAGTCAGACATTTCTTTTTGATATCCTGCGAGGATGACAATGATACGGTCGCGGCGATCTTCCATAAGCTTGATGATGGTGTCCACTGCCTCTCTTCCAAAGGAATCTCTATCCCCTTGAACGATGGAATAGGCCTCATCAATAAAGAGCACTCCACCATCTGCGTCATCAAAGGCTTTCGTGACTTTCAAAGCGGTTGCTCCAGAGTGTTCGCCCACCAAATCAGGACGACTTACCTCCGAGACCAGGTCGCGGTCCTCAGATTCCGTCACATTGCTCCGGATGGCTCCCATTGCCACAAGGAGTTCACCAACAATGCGCGCAACCACGGTCTTGCCAGTCCCTGGATTCCCCAAAAATGCCATGTGCAAAGACTGACCACCAATATCAGGAAGTTTGAGATTAGCTCTCTGTAGATTGAAATCTACTTGGGCAATGATTTCCTTCATCTGATCTTTCACATCTCCCAGTCCAACAAGGCTTTCCAGCTCTGCCAGCAGATCTTTGGCAGGTTTCCACACTTTTTTCTTTGACTTCTTCTTTTTTCCAAGGTCTCTCGCACAAAGCTTTGGGCATCGGTCTCCACAGATTTCTTTCAGCGGTGCACAAAGTTGTTTGTTGCAAGAAGAAGGACATCCTGAACTCTTTGCTTCTTCTGTGATTGTGCTCATGAAAGATTGGCAAATTGGACATTCCAAGCAGGTAAGCCCTCGCTGGCTGCATGAATCCTTTGTTTTGCAAAGGACGCAAAGGGCACTGGTTGCTTTGGGGTTGAACTCTTTGTGTAACGGGGTCAACTGGCTCAACTCCTCCTGATCAGTCCTGCCTTTGCCCAGTGACCGAGATGCCTTTCCAAAGGACCACAGGGCCATGAGAACACAAACTCTTAGAGTCCATGGAGTCCACCCTTTGAAAGTCAAACAAATCATCCACTTCATTCCACTTCAACGGAGCTTTCAACAGCTTTCAACGGAGCTTTCAACAGCTTTCAACAGCTGCTCTCACAGCCACAGCCGTTGTCACTCGTATTGCCAAACAACGAAGGTTGCAGAATAGCTTGAGCCAAGTCAGTATTCAAAAATGTTGACAGCACATACATGCATCGTCTGATCTGCTAGAGACAGCTGCACAGGACATGAAACTGTGCGTTGAAGTTGATGCAATTTAATCAGTAATGCTGACTGCTTGGACTGCTTGGATATATCCCCGCAACTTCAACTTTGCAACGCACACACAGCGCCAAGTGCAGCACTGCAGATGGCCACGCCAGTAAGGACGTGTAAATCGCTCCAGAATGTTCCTGGCCAGCGGGAGACCCACATTCCAATATGTTTTCCAAGTGCAGCTGAATCCTGCAATGTGTGTTCAATCTTGAGCAGTCTTGTACCATCTTGTAACCCTTAGACTACTTGGACTGTAATTCTGCCTCTTGCATATGTTCTGGAGTGGACGGGTCCCAGCCAAATAGCTTCCAAACCTCATGAAGCGAAAACTCCGGATGTCCCATCACGAATGACACAAGTGGGCAACTGCTACTTACAGCGAATGCTACTTTCCCTCTTGACAACCGTCATATGAAATCGATGAAAACTGTACGCATTTTCGCCGTCTACAGTCTACCCTCAATCCTTACTGAACTCGAATTGATGCAATTGCAGACGGCAAACGGCCTTTTCTACGCTGAATGTATGGCTCTAAAGGCGGCTTCCGGAACTACTCCATCATCGGTAACCACTATGTCAAATTTCCGCCGGAACCTTTCAGTTGCAGGAGTCTGTGGAATCTAACAGCACTGTCTGTCAAGAACAATGAATTTGGATGAATTTGGACATGTTCGGACACAGCGAAAGAGTTTGCCAAGAAACTCTGGCAAACGTTCCTCCACTTTCTCATTCAAGAAGCCAACCTGTCATGTCAAAGCGGCTCAGGTGGGCTCGAAATAGACATAGCAGGGAATAAGTGTCCATGCACAAAGCATTGATTCTTACCGTTGGGTGTTGAAGCTGGATTATACCAGATTTCAGCCAAGGTACCTTCAGGGTCTCAATTTCTAAACCATCTGCCATCGTGCAGTCACCAACACCATCACCCATGAGGAGGCAAAACTCTTTTCCTTCTGCCAGCTTCTTCGTCGCCTCAGCGGAATGGACACATTGGATGTTCATCAAACCCACCAGACCGACCAAACCGATGCATTCTTAGCATTTCTTCGTTGCTTTGAATCTTTCCAAGAGAAGAGTCTTATATTTCTCGGCTCAGCTGTACTCACATGCACTCTTCCTCTATGTCGCCACTCTATCTCCAGCCTCTGGAAAAAAGGCAGCTGTCTTGTTGAACCTTAGAGGTAGAGGAAATGGTAATTTTCACTGGAGGTCTTTGCCTTAGTCAAACAAGTGCAGTTTAGTTGTTCCGTCTGCACTGACTTCAGAAACGAGTCATTGAAGCCACGCAGCATATGCAGCAAGGGCTCAGAAAAGTCAGACAAACGGCCAGATTCATCGAAGACCATCCTGGACTTTCAGGATCTTTCAGGCAGCCATTGTCTGCTTCTGATTGTCGCAAGTTTTCATTGTGACTATGATGCCCCGGGTTGTGATGGTCAGAGCCTTACTGCGCATCTCTGACAAAATGTAAGACGTCTCGCGTCAATTCTGGAAAGTCCTGTTGGACACAACGTGTGTGCTCTGCTGCAAGGGGAAGGGAAGCACTTGACGAAGAAACTCCTCATAAGACCATCAAAACTCAAAAGGCAAAGTAATTTGGATCCAGAAGGTGCAAGTTCCAGCAGGTTGTCACATGTTGTAACGTCATGTTTGTATATGTTTGTCAGTTTGCAAGACTTCGAAGAAGAGAGTGTTTGGTCAAAAAGGTAGCGAAGAAATGACGGCAGATGACAGTCATTCGTCTGGCTGTGTCGCTTTCTGTCGCCCCACCACTACATCCTCAATGACATCGCCCAGGCCAGCAGACATGATGATCCTTAGTTGAAGGATTTCAAAATGTTCAAAGAAACATCCGAGCTGCGGACCATCCAATCATTGAATCACTGGTTCGCTCGCCCACAAACTCGCAAACTCACCCACCAAGTACTTTGCCCTTACTCTCGCTCATGCTCGCACTGTCACCAACAGCCATTTCAGGAAGAAAGTATGCGTTAGCAAAGCGTTAACAAAAAAAATGTTTTTCGATAATCTGCGTGTTAAGGAAGTGCACTGGAGCAAACTTCTCTCATGACGCTCATGGTTTGCTAGCTAGTGAGAACTTAGGTAATTCACTCAATGACTTGCAATCTTGAATTACTCATTCGCTGAATCGCTCATCTTATCATTCCCTCAGTGCACCGAATTGCACCAACAAAGCTCGCTCATGTGCTCAGTCCATCAAGTTTCAAGAACTCCGTCGTTTGCAGACAGAATCCCTCAATCTCTCACTGTGTCCGTTCAGCACTCAATCGCACATCTGCTCGCTCAATGATGCCTCCCTGGCAATTGCTCACTAAAACAGTTTGCTCAAGACATCCTGCGGCTCCCTGAAACGCTCATCTACTCACTCACTCAAGCAGCCAATCAATGCACAAAGCAATCAAGCAATCAAAAACAACCAAAACAAATATCATCAAAATATATAAATGTTATCATTAAAATTTGATCAAATAGTTTTGAATATCATCAAATGTCAGTGCAATTTCATCAAGTATCATTAAAACTTCATCCAAACCTCATCAAAACTTCATCGTTTTTCATCAAATATCAAAACATCATCAAATATCATCAAATGTTCATCAAGTATTATCAAAACTTCATCAAAGCCTCATCAAATGTCATCAAACAACTTCATCAACTTCATCAAGAGTAATCTAGTATCATGAAATCAAGAAATTGAACCACAATAAGCTTCGGTGGTATCCCCAACAGCCGCAACGCTTTATTTTTACAAATCTTTCTGAAGTGTGCTGCGAAGCCAAGCGCTGGAAATATCTGAGCTGGGTTTCCGTGAGTTAAATGGCCGCAAATCCTGTTGCACCTGACCTGGCTTTGCACCAAAGTCTCCCACACCTTCTCCGGAATCTTCTTCGGAACCCTGTTGCACCTGACCTGGCTTTGCACCAAAGTCTCCCACACCTTCTCCGGAACCTTCTCCGGAACCCTTTTGAACCTGACCTGGCTCTGCACCAAAGCCTCCCAGACCTTCTCCGGAACCTTCGCGACCTTCTCCGGAACCCTGTTGAACCTGACTTGGCTTTGCACCAAAGTCTCCCACACCTTCTCCGGAATCTTCTTCGGAACCCTGTTGCACCTGACCTGGCTTTGCACCAAAGTCTCCCACACCTTCTCCGGAATCTTCTTCGGAACCCTGTTGAACCTGACCTGGCTCTGCACCAAAGTCTCCCACACCTTCTCCGGAATCTTCTTCGGAACCCTGTTGAACCTGACCTGGCTCTGCACCAAAGCCTCCCAGACCTTCTCCGGAACCTTCTCCGGAACCCTTTTGAACCACCCCTGGCGGTCTGGGCCTCACGTGCGCACGCGTTTTTTGGCTCACGTGCGCACGCGCAAGGAGGCCTCACCTGAGCACGCGTTTTTGGTCTCACGCGCGCACGCGCCAGACGCGTTGTTAGTCTCACGCGCGCACGCGCACGAGTTTGTGCGTTCCACTAAACCATTGTCTCCATTCTACTTCTTTATTTAAACTTACCCCCCCCTGCGTTCCACTAAACCATTGTCACCATTATACTTCTTTATTTAAACTTACCCCCGCGTTCCACTATACCATTGTCTCCATTCTACTTCTTTATTTAAACTTACCTCCCCCTGCCGTTCCACTAACACCTTGTGCCACCATTCTACTTCTTTATTTAAACTTACCCCCCGCTGCGTTCCACTAAACAATTTTCTCCATTCTACTTCTTTATTTAAACTTACCCCCCCCTGCGTTCCACTATACTATTGTCTCCATTCTACTTCTTTATTTAAACTTCCCCTCCCCTGCGTTCCACTATACCATTGTAACCATTATACTTCTTTATTTAAACTTCCCCCCCTTGCGTTCCACTATACCATTGTCTCCATTCTACTTCTTCATTTAAACTTCGCCCCCCTGCGTTCCACTAAACCATTGTCACCATTATACTTCTTTATTTAAACTTCCCCCCCCCGGCGTTCCACTAAACCATTGTCACCATTATACTTCTTTATTTAAACTTCCCCCCCCCGCGTT